TCATCTATCATGTGAATTAGGTGTACGACAAAAACCTTTAGGGGAGAAATTGAATTAGTAGATCACATATTTTGTATTTCTATTCTAGTTTCCCAACGATCAAGCTTGATTTAGGTTAAAAAAAAACCAAAATTTTCTAGTAGAACAACTGTTGAAAGAAATTGTAGACTCTCTGCCTCTTCACGAGTCAAGCTTAACATACCATATCATAACATTCCTTTCAATGCTTACGAAATCTTCATATTCGTTCTTCTGGCCATTTGAGTACATATAAACATGTCAGTGACTTGCAACTTTAAAATCCTTCTACTCTTAAGTTCTTAGCATTTTTCTCTCTGGTATGGTTGTCCCAATTAGGTCTAAATCATCACAATTCAATTTTCACTAGATCTCAATTATACATACATTACCTCATTCCCTAGTAGATCACCATATATTTTATCTCAATTCAAACATTACCTCATTCCCTAGTAGATCACCATATATTTTATCTCAATTCAACAAGCTCATTGTCAACCAATTACCCTTGATAAGTCCTAACCATAATGCTTTAATGGCCTCAAAATTTTATTGATGAGAAGCAGCAACATACCTAGTGGAATTCATTCCAAACTTCGGAAAAGTGCTATTTCCTCTTGATGGAACTATCCACCTCATGGCTTCGAGCCATACTATAGCAAATGGTTCCCTGTTAACTATATCTTGAATTTAACTCAAGAAAATTCACCTCATCCCCAAAGGATCCCCTTCTCTTTAGCCTCACCATAATGTGTGAAGCGCTAGATTTGCTCTTATTTGAGCACTGGTTTGTATGCATTCATACCAACTACTGATTTTAATCACTTAAGACATTCTAACTATAAACTTAAATCTATTTTTTGGATTAATATAAATCATATAGCCCATAAAGTTGCAACCATCTACTATGTACACAAAAATACACACTTGCAAACATGTGAACGCCTCATTTTACATCGAATTTTTTTGAGATATGTGTGTATTACCATGTTTCTTGTATATGCATTTAAGGATTTATTTAAATTTTTGTGATAATTTTGTATTAATTGATCAATAAAATGGTCCTCATTTTATTCATATAATAATCATTTCTAAGATTTTCTCATACTGTACAATGATATGACATGGGTAAAGACTAATGAGTGTGAGATTAGAAGTCAAAGTGTGTAAGGATCTAAAATATTAAGGAGTTTCCCTCCCTCTGCTTCATGGCATGCCCTTACACTTGTCCTATAAATAAATGAAATGTTACTACTTTTTCTTATAGTTGCCTATGATGCTCCATAAAATTATAGACATTCAAATAGACCCATTGAGAAACCCTTCTAAAATCAAAACTTAAATAAAGCCCTTTTGAATCTATAGGGCACTCAACCATTTTTCTACAAAATAAAATAAATAAATAAAACATTTTTCTACAAAATCATAAAATGAATACTACTTCAACTTATAACCCAAATGAGTAGATCAAGAAATCGAAGGACATGTGCTAAGTTTGGTATTACTCACCATCGATCAGCCTATCTTGTACTATATTAAGACTTAAAGGATAAAGCTTTAAAACTAGCATAGGTACAATTCAATGGGGAATAAACCGTTTTGAACCTATAGGGAACTCAACCATTTTTCTACAAAATAAAATAAATAAATAAAACATTTTTCTAAAAAATCATAAAATGAATACTACATCAATTTATAACCCAAATGAGTAGAACAAGAAATTGAGGGGCATATGCCCAGTTTGGTATTACTTACCATCGATCAACCTATCTTGTACTATATTAAGACTTAAAGGATAAAGCTTTAAAGCTAGCGTAAGTAAAATTTAGTGAGGAATAAGCCCCTTTTGAATCTATGGGGCAGTCAACCATTTTTCTACACAATAAAATAAATAAATAAAATATTTTTCTACAAAATCATGAAATGAATACTACTTCAATTTATAACCCAAATGAGTAGATAAAAAAATCAAGGAACATGTGCCAAGTTTTGTATTACTAACCATCAATCAACCTATCTTGCACTATATGAAGACTTAAAGGATAAAGCTTTAAAACTAGTGTAGGTATAATTTAGTGGGATTCCCCGTTCAAAGAATACAAAACTTGTCTTCAAACTTCTTGATGCCCATCATGACTGGGTTGTAAATCCTTTCATGGGCAACTTCTCGAGAGAAGAAGAAAAGTTTCATATATCCACATTACTTGCATTAAACTAAGCAGAGCATTCCCCACAAATGGTGTTATAAATCTTTACCTAGCTAACTCTTTCTAGTTATTGTGGAGTCATAAGCCCTGATCTCTCGTATGATCAAGACTTGTACCATTTTTTAGGAAGTGTGAGTTCATTTGAGGCAATTTTCCATTGACTGTTAAAGGAAATATAAGTTTGTTCATAGATCCATTCCTTCGGTTCGTTTTGTCATGGCTTATGTAAAGGTGCTCGCCCTTACTCTAGGCAACCCCACTTGAGTCGTAAAGCCCACACCTTCAATAACATCTTTTAAGAAGTTACAAGTCCCTCAATATTTTTTTGCTATTTCTCTCAATAGATGGTAAGACCCCATTGCACAATCAATTATCACTCGGACTTTTTTAAAAAGGGCACCAAACTCTCAGCCACTACAAGAAAATTCATGTCCACTTTGCTAGTTTACCCCAGATTGGCACCTCTCACTTAGCTAATCCATATGAATTTAAACCCGCACATGTTAGAATTGTTGTCTAGATCACTTATGATGAATCAAGAACATAAGCTTAACAAGCTTAAAGCTGAGAGTATTTTCAAGTACCACACCTTAATTAATCATGGACACTTATATCTATAGTAAATGTATACTCTTAAATAAATAAACCCAATTTAGTCCTCATATCAGAAAGAGGAAATCTATATGATAAATTTTTAGTCTGTCTTCCATTGATTCTTTCAAATTTATATTAAAATTTGCAGGCTTTACTATCCACTAACTTTACTCTAAACTACAAACATAAGGCCCTTTCAAAACCCACATGCATTTCATTCATAAATTGAAAAAAAAAAGAAAAAAAAAACTTCTCTATTTCTACTTAACTTGGAAAGATTTCTTGAAGTTGCTATGCACGAAAAATTTTCTTGAACCATAATTTGATAGTAAAATATTTTAGAAACAAATCAAAAAAAAAGCTTCCCATTTTAACAAATGTAATTGAATTAAAGATGGGACTTTAAAGCAAAAAATATGAGCCAAAAAAAAAGCTTCCCATTTTAACAAATGTAATTAAATTAAAGATGGGACTTTAAAGCAAAAAATATGAGCACAAACACAATTATAAACCTCCATCTCATAGGGCTATAAAACATTCAGTTCGCTTTAAATGTTTGTCAATACAACATGCTCTATTTAACAATAAAACTATTACAATATTAATTTGCATCTGTGTTTCTCCTTCAAATAATAGAAGTTTAAGCACCAATAAATACAATTATAACAAAATGAAAAGCGTAACCCAAAACCATATATGGAAGTTGATCATAACAGGAATAACAATATAATTTCATGAACCCAAAACCATATTACTGAGAAATAAGAAAAGCTTGAGGCTACCATGGAGCATCATTAGCTTGTCAATAAATAATTTAAAGGAAATGCTGGTACTAATCAATATGAAGTATATTTAATATATCATTTTAGTCATAAAAATTGCAATTACCGTGATTTTATTGTAAAATATTGGTCCTCTTCAGCAAACTCAGCAGCCTCATTGATTTGTATGGTTTCTTCAGTTTTCAATACCTAAAAAGCAGATTAGAAGGAACATCAAAAAATTTCAAGCTTCTATCAGATGATTAAATTTCAAATAGGACCTAGAAACTACAGTATTACTGATAGCAACTTCCTATTTTCAAGAAAGCAACTTTCTAGGCAGATTCTATCACGTTAAAAATTGCAAAACATATTTGTTTGCTTCGCAACTGCACATAAACTATACAACGTTACTGCTGGATGTAATTTTGAAAAACTTATAGGTCAGGAAAAAGCATGCCTATCAAAATGCATAAAATTTTGAAAAACATAAATTTTTGAACCACAAGGGGGGATCTAGTAGCAATTAGTAATAAGTAATCAAAAGATTTAAAGATTTCAGGCAAAGTTCTGAAACTTGCTACTAATGAAGATTGAACTAAAAAGGGGCAAATAGTATTTTCTTTCAATATTTCAATATGGTCAATGAAAGAAACTCTAACAAGATTAAACATTCAAATAGTTGAATATTTTCAAACAATCTTGCATCAAATGCAATAGCAGAAAGCAAATAAACAGCACATTGTATATATGATGAACGCTACTAAGAGTCAATACTCAAATAAGATATTTTGACACCCTAGTTTTTTATTTGCCTGAGTCTCACTATATGGCTAGTTCCTATGCAAAGGGAAAGCTTATATGTTGATCTTTCTCTGGCACAAAGATTAAAAACCTAAGAACATGCACGTGTTTCAGCTCATGTAGCTTCTGGAAAAAGCCTATAAATTAGACAACATAGAATTGTGAAGAATTAAATTAATATTAGATTATCCATTTAGCATTTATTAAACTTCACAAGTCAATCTTCTTAGCTCTAGTGACTAAGGTAAAAACCTGAACATTAATCAATCTGACATTATGAAAAAAAATATGGTGATAAAAATGATTCTTTTAAGAGGATCAGTAAAGGATTAACATTTATTAAATAAGACCAGCTATCATAGCATACAAAAGGTTGCTTCTCATACATATCAGGTCCAAAATGAGCTATGCATGCTTTTAGATGACATTGTTGAATCCTTCAAACGATTTGAATACTGATTAAGAAAACCTTCACGCAAACACCACAATAATCAACTCACACACCACTCTTATATGTTGCTATTGCGTAGGAGCATCAGAAAAAATTATTGAGTAAAAGAAACCTAGGCACACAAACCAAAGAAATCTACCTGGGAGAATTCAGCCTTACGCACAGAAAATTAAGAACAAGCAAAAAAATACAGCTATAATCGAAAGATGCTGACAACAAAATGCACATCAGATGATGGGGCCATGAAGCTTTCTTTGTATATGTCATCGGAACTAGCCTGAGAGCTCGAATCTGAAACGCATTCGAACGAATTGCATTCCTTCAGAGCGCTGCTATTTACCAGAATACGTTCAGTAGTTCGAAGGGAATCATCCATTGATCCTTCTGCACTCACAATTTCTCTCATTTGGTGACTTTCATCTTCTTCATGTGATACAGGACCTGAAGCAAGGGGGAGTCCATTACTTGAGCACCTAATCTGCTCCCTTTCAGCACAAGTCCCTCTCTCTTCAACATCCTCCAAATTTTCATCAGAAAGTAAAGATAACACCGTAATCTCCTTCTCAACTTCGTCGGGCTGCTGCATTTCCAATTCCGCCGAACCAAGATTGATGTCTCCGCCAAATTGAGAAGTTATAATGGATTCCGCAGCCACCAAACTATCTTCAAAATCAGAGGCCTCGGATACCATCGCACGATCCAGTAAATCAGAAATGCCCTCTTCTAGGACAGGCTCTCTTGGATCCAACCAAGTTCCTTCTGACATCTCCCAACCATCTGAAAATCGCGTCCCTAATAAGTCGCTGACCTCATGTTCTATTGACGTACAAATTCCGACTGAACTTGTCCTGAACTTATCGTCAACGGTGCCCCCATCATCATCAGCAGGGCAAGATTCGTTGCTCCCCCACTGAAGTCCAGAATTTTCTTCCCTTTCGTCTAACATTCCACCACTAGAAAACCCCTTCGGCTCCCTCTCCTCCACCAACACCCTCCTTGTAACCTTCGCGGCATCTCCAAACCGGAAGACCACACTTCCATCAGAGCAAACTACTGAAGGCATCAAAGCCACCCCAGTCAATAACACAAACAAAAAGAAGACGTGAAGCGAAGAGAGATCCATAGCTCATTAAGTAAGGGGAAGGGGGGCTGCAGTACCGGAGGTGGAGATGATATCGACGCGCGACGGAGTTGTGGGTCTGTCCGTGGCGGATACGGTTCGGGGAGCCCTTCTCCGTATCTCGGGGAAAGAGCAGGAGGCGAAATGGCGAATCTGTGCTGGTGTCTGCTGAGTCGGAATCTTCAAGGAGGGACGGTTGATGAGGACGAAGGCGTTCTCTGCCATTCAGAGCGGATGTGGTTGACTGATCTGCGCGGGTTCAGAGATGTTGGTAGAAATGACACTTCCAGTGTGCACTATTAGTTAAAAATAAAATATATATTTTTGACGAATAATTTTGTCATAACAAAATATTGTAAATATAAAAATATCAAATTTTTTTTGTGTTGAATATATAAATATATAAATTTATGTGCTATACATAAAAAATTTTAATTGATTTTATCAAAAGAATTAAATTGTATCAAATATTTGTATTTACTTTGGTTGAAATTGAATAAATTTTGGTTTCAGACTTAAGCACTGCAAAGTTAGATTGAGTGGGAATTCACGAATCACAAAAATTATTTAAAAATAATTAAATTCTCTTAAATCTTTTAAAACTATTTTTTATAATATTTTTTTAGATTATAAACATGTTTATTTAACTTAATAAAAAAATTAATTAAATTTAATTATATATGTTGTTAATTAAACTATTTTGATTAATTAATTGATCACTAGAATTTTTTAGAATAATTACTTATTAATTAATAAATAATTATTTATTAACTAATATAATTTAATTAAAGTTAGCATAATATAATATTATAATCAAGTATATTTAATCATCAATTAATCAACAACAACATAATTATTATTTATTTATTTATTTATACAAGTAATTAGGCCACAATTATATTATCATTACCCTAATAAGTCAGTAACTAATATTAGAATATTCATTGATCAAGCTTTAATTAGTAATTTACTAAAATAAGTAATAATTAAATTTAATTAAAGAGATAGTTTATTCATTAAGAACTTAGAACTTTAAATAAATGTATGAATAATTATTCAATTAAAATAATTCAGAGAAAACATCAATTTAATTAGCTTAATATCTTACTAATTAATGAACACTAATTATTAATTTAATTCAATAATTAATATTAAAGCAATCATCCCCCATCCCTTTCACCAACCCAAAATCTTCAAAACCATCATGCCAAAAAAACTCAATATTATCAAGTGTTCGCAGAGGAGAAATATTGAAGGAGGTGATAAGATTGTGACATTTGAACCTCTAGTGTACAACCCAGAATGGTGTCATAGCGCCAGACAAGGCTAAAAACAGGCGTTATAGCGTCGATTCTGAGTGTTATAGCTCCTGAGACGATTTTCGGACGGGTTTTGGGTGATTCTGAGTCGTTCTGGGATGTTCTGGAAGCTTCTTGAGAACTTGCACACCCCATGGAGTGGTTAAATGAATCTAGACACTTATGAAGGCTTTTTGATGAAGGGATGTGTCTCTTGGAGTGAAAGGGTGTCTTTTGGATGAAGAGATGTATTTCTTGGAGAAAAGAGGTGTTTTTTGTATCTCTTTAAAAAGTTAAGCCCAGCGTGTGAGTATGGAGGTGTAGATTTCCACTTTTTTTTGAGAGATTAGTGAGGGATTTTGAGAGATATGTCTAAGGAATGTACGGGCGGCACATGGATCGGCAGGAGACTTTGGTGAAGATATTTTTTATCTTTCTTTCAGAGGGAAAAAACTAAGTATTGTGTTCTTCATTATCTTGTAATTGTTGTAAACACTTTCTAGTGGATTTTTTTTTATTTAAACAAAGTTTTCTGTGGTGTTTTATCCATGTTTCATAAGTAGTTTTCTTTACTTTGTTCTTTTAATATGAGGTAGTGGCATGTGTAGGAAAATTTGTTTCATGATAGAATTATTTTAAATTTCATTTGATGAGTAATATCTCATTTGCTTCATTGAAATAACTTAAGTGGCAATAAGTTATGTTAAAATTCGTTGCATGTGAAACTAAGACTCGGGAGAGCATTGATTTTGCAACTTGAGTGCACTCACATTGACCGGTTGGCTAGTAAAATAGTTTAGGCGGCAAAACAACTTTTAAGGAAATATAATTTAATGATTTGTTTCTATTAGAAACTTTTAGGTGACAGACAGTTGCATAAAACTAATAGAATAGTATGCATACATACACACTCAAAAGAGGGTAGGCAGACATATGTTCATTATTGACACTTAATTTATTACTTAATTCTAATCATTTTACTATGTATGTCATTATCTTCATTTTAATTTAGTTTTGCAATGAAATAGATGCATGTTCAGGAATTTAGATTTGCTTAGATATTCTATTATTTTATTAATGTGATTGTATTTTCACCGGCTCTTGGTTGATTTTGTAAACTATCACTTGTGGGGTTAAAATCCGTTGTGAAACATAATGACTCAGGAGGGCTATGATTTCACCTAATCAGTGGGTATCACATTTCATCTTGGCAAAGCTGTTGCAATCACCTGAGGGGAGTGCAAATAGATAAAGAGATGAGCTTTGATGGGCGTAGAATTGATATTTCTAGGGTGATAGACTAGATTCTCTTATCAATTCGGTCTAGAGTTTTGATCGTAAGGATCCCTAGTATATCCTATAGAGCGAACACAATGGGTGATTTAGAAGTAAAAGGTCGGAATCTACTCAGCACTACTACATAAGCTAGTGAGAGACTCTGTATTAACCAATATTCTTAGCAAGCACCGAGAGGGGGTAAAGAACAAGTATGCTCCTATTTGTCATTGGCTACTTTAAATTATAAGTATTTTATTCCTATACATTATTTAGGTCATTGCACGAGAAGAGTGGTCTTTAACATCTCAAAATTCTCCAAATCAATTTATCCAGATAAGTTATCTTTAGATTTAACATTTTCATTTAGGAATAATTATTAGAAAAATCATTTTGATTGACATTCTAAACTAAGGCTTTGTAGTAATAGATTAGAATTAACCTAAGAGATTTTTTACCTTGCTTCTCTGTGGGATCTATACTTGGGGTCTTAAAAGAAAATAATATATTACTTGAAAAGATACATATAATTTCATAGAACTCCTAGTGTATAAAATATAAATCAAATTCTAAATTTTATAAAAAAAATATTTTGCACACTAGCTGCTTAAATATAAATTAGGTCAAGTTTTTGGTCATCTTTCGGAGCTTAAAAATCTACATAATTACGGGTCGGGTCAAGTTTTTGGCATCGTTATCGAAGAATTAACGGTAAGAACTTTGGGAGAATTTTAGCTAAACATGTATGACTTAGATTTAGAAATTATAGTATTACTATATCTTGTGTTTAATTATTATGTGTTTATTTTAAAAAAAATCCAAAATACTAAAAATATTTTTATATCTGTCCTTTTAGTTAAGTCTATAAATTTGTAAGCATAGTTTAGGAGCTGCAGACCTTGAATTATACGACTTAGGGTCTGTTTGGGGCAGCTGCAATTTATCCAGCTTCTGCTGATAAGCAGTTTATCCTGATAATCTGCTGATAAGCACCTTATCCTGATAATCTGCTGATAACCAGTTGATCCGGATAAGCTGTCTGGCTGTTTGGTTAGTGAGTCTAGAAAACAGCTGATTCTGGAAAATTGACCATTTTGCCCCTACTCTGAATAAGTTGTTTAATTGTTTGGTTAGTGCGTTTTGTAAACAGCTTATTTGGAAATTTTTTTGGTTGAATGAATAATCTGTGTAGCAGAATATTATTTTCTCAAATGTCAAGAAATGAAAATACAAAAAAATTTAATAATATTTATATAACTCAAAAAAGTTTTGATTACATCAAATAAGCACAGTGACATATATGAAAGTTCATTACACATTCACACAATAGTATGGATTATAATAAGACCTCAAAAAAAAGAAAAAATAATATGTTAAAATTACAAGGAAAAAAATGATAATATTGACTTTAAAATGTAAAATCACATTACGACGAATGTTGCCCGGTTCTGATACCTCAAAACCCCGAGCAAACCTGTCCGATTGAGGTGCAGTAGATACGGAAGAACTAGCTGTGTCTAGTGTGACGTGAATAGCAAGGACGGTAGTCCGCAACGACACATCACTTTATCGAACTTCCCTGAAAGTCTGGAACTCATCATCCTGCAGTTATTAAAATTAGAATAGATCTGTCCAAAAATTGAGGAAATATAAACAGTAAACTTACCCATGTGTGGAGACAGCAATTGCCGACAACAAATTTACGTGGTCGTCCAAACAGCTCCACCGTTATCCACCATATAAGAGGTGAAGCTATTAACCAGCATAAAGCAATATATCCACATTAATCATAAAATATGCTCAAAGCTGCTAATATAAACTCTAATATAAGCATCACCTGTCTTTATGATACTCATGATTCCATAAAATAAACCGCAGAGTTAGCATTCATCCAACAATCATACACCAATACCATATAGTCAATTCATCAAAGAAGCTTCATTTATATAAATAGCACACAATTCTAATGCATTTACATATCTGACACCTAAACATTTATATTTTTCGCACATAGCACTCAACTGTGTAGCTAAGGAATGTCGATATGTACAAAACCAACAAGGTAATAACCCCACAGAGAAGTATAACAGTGTAGCTAAAGAAATGGCAGCAGTGCACCCATAACCCCACCACAAACAATAGTAATCATAAGAACATTACTGCAACATTCAATCTGGTTGGCAAAGATTTCAACAACTTTCAATAAGATCTCAAATGGTTTCCCCCAATTCCATCACCCAAAAGAATAAATGGCACAATGGTTGCTATAATTATTTAAGCCATCCTAAAGTGTCAAATTTTTCTGAATACAGGTGCAAAGAAATAACTACTGCCATTTAAAAAAAATTAGATAAAATACCCCATAAACTGTCATTTCAAGCTTCCTTAAAAATGCAGATGGAAGAGATATATTAATGGTTTCTTCTTCATCTGCTAATCCACTATACTTATCCACTATTTTATTTTCTATTCTACTCCAAAAAATAAACAAAATTACACCAAACAAATGTTGACATTTGTGTGAGTTCAAAAGAGTTATGGAAGCATGCACCAACAAAAATCTGAATTCATACCACTCCCAAATGGTTTCCCCCAATTCCATCATCAAAAAAATAAATGGCACAATGGTTGCTGTAATTATTTAAGCCATCCTAAAGTGCCAAATTTTTTTGAATACAGGATTAAACAATACAGTGTCAAATT